CTAGCTTGCGTTATTCTTAAATCAAATTACTTTTGCAATGTATTTGTTAGAACCTATTTAAATTATCTATGGTAACATTTATGTGTTTTAGACCAATTTTAAAACTCACATATTTTACATCGATAGAGCATTAGCAGATATTATAAATAACTAGCGGTCGCCTGCGACTCCGTCCACGTGGAATTAAAAAAACAACTTAATAAGTAGTCTATGTGTTCTTCCAGACTATATTCTACATCTATGCCAAGTTTTAACGAGATCCATTGAGCCGTTCTGGAGATACCTTCAAACAAACATCCATCCATCTAAACATTCGCATTTATAATACTAGTAAGATGGTATTAAGAACGCTTTAGAGATCATGTTTGTGCTATAGATAAACTGATCGGTTAATAGTATGATATTTTTATTTAATAATGTATTATTTGTCTATTAAAGTCTTTTAAATATAAATTTATAAGTTAATATTAAACACAAATACAATAAATAAATCGTCCTCACATTCAGTTGGGATCAGATAAATCTTAACCTCGATCTAATGCCTAAACATGTAACTCAGGTGACATTGGATTTTCGTTTGGAATTTACGCTTCTAAAAAGAAAAAGGTCGAACAAACGAAAAGGCAGGGAAACCGATGCGATTTAGCGAGTCCCGGGAGGCGGCGCTGTCTAACGAACAACGTATTGTCACCCTCCCAGGGTCGGACTCTAAACAAATATATGCTCCAAATAAGTGTTTGCTGCATGTTATTTATTTTAGATACGTTGAGTAAATCTTTTCAAATCCCATAGGTGGTTTAAGGAATACTTTATTATTACTCCATCTTATTTTTTTAACCTTAAAGTAAGATTTTATTAACCGATTCCAAAAAGGAGGAGGTACTCAATTCGTCTGTATGATCTTTTTATTCTTGTTCGTTGATTATCGTTGTTCACATTTAATGAATACTTAGTCATGTTGTCTGCATTTTATAGTAATCCAAAAATTCAAGTCCATGTTCTTTCGTTATCAAATCCAAAAACAATCTCAGGTAATACTCTCACCAGTAAAGTTAATGTTCTGTTAATAGAATGTTCCTAATATTTGCTTGTGTAAAAAACGCTCGTCCAGATTGCGAAATACAATTGAATAAAACGTGATTGTTTATTGAATAGGCGACACCGTGGTGGGTGCGTGAGTGAGTGCATGCGGACTCAGTAAATCACGGGAAAAGTAATAGTGGCCGCGGGATCCATTCATTAAGATCGGCCCTTCCTAATTTATTCAGGTGACGGGACGAGGTCACATCTACGGACACTTCCGTTAAAGGTTACAACATACGTACATTTCTAAGATATGTGACATGTTTATATAAAATATTTATTATCTGTAAGTCTTTTTATTTTGTTTAGTTGCCCTCGATTTAGTCCGTCAGAATAAAAAAAAAACTAGTAATAACATAGTCTATGTCACTCGAGGTTAGTGTTGCCATCCAACAATGAAAAAAATTTCAAATCGATTCAGTAGAACGCATCTGCGGTTCCTCTGGTATTGCTGTTCATGGGTGTCGTTGAACACCTCGGTGTTCACGCTGCTCGTTTACCGCCTTCTGTTATTAAAAAAAGAAGTTTTGGAGCCTGTTCAGTTAAATCTTTTATCTTTATAATATTAGGTATAGATACAGCTTGTTACTTGATACATGTATCCCGCATAGTCATTTGTTTACTAATATATGCATGGATCTTGCTGCAATTTGACATATGTAGAACATATTCTGGAAGAACATAGGTTACTAATTATTTTTTTTTAATTCCTCGCGGACAGAGGCAACAACTGGTTTTACAATAAAAAAATGATTTCAGTTAAATTCCTTTTGTACCATAAAGCTAGAATCATACTATTTCTTCTATTATTTCACATTAATGTTTCGTTTCCTGTCATCCGGGCTGCTGCTAGGATGTAGCGAATTCAATATCATGCCGCAGTAAAGTTTAATGTTTTCACCGAAAACAATTTTAGTTGGAGGCATGTGTTCCTATTGACTTTGTAACATTAAGTTATGTCTACGTTATGCGTAGAGTTAAGTTATGTTTCCTTATTACGCTTGTTCTACCCTTAGATATTGTTCTGTAACCAGAAATTGAAATCTTACAATGTTTTTGCGAGTTTCATTAATGTCTTAGTTTACATTATGCTAGTACAGTAAGACAGTAGCGTTCAAAATGAGCGCCAGCTTACAACTTGCCAGTTGAACGCTACTGTCTTACTGTACTGGCATAATGTTAACCAGACATAATAGTAAAGATAAGCTAGTGCCTGTCAGCCAATACAGTACATGCAACGCCAGCGTTACTGTCCCACTTTTACTGTACTGGAATAATGTAAACCAAACATTAAGTAGGCATACATTTACTGATGTGAATAATTTTCTATGAAAATTTGACGTTATCATAAATAAATGTATTATTGTTGGATTTAATTATTTGAATTTGAGTGGATTAATAGTCTTTGGCCAGTACTGGAAGGGTGATTTATAGTGTACTATATTAAAAATTCTAAAATAAAAACTTTAATAAAACTTAAGTAGTGCAAATTTTTTTATCAATGCTCTTAACTAAAATCAAAATCATACTTAATTTTTTGATACTATATTTTGCGCATCAAATTGAAAACAGAAAAGCTTTGACATTATCAAGACGTACGACGAAAAACTCTGAGCTGGTTTCATACTCAAATGCTTATTGTGCTATTTAGCAAGGAGCTGTCCCTCACACCTACGTGCGCCTGCATTATTGCAACATATTTATAAAATATAAATTCAACTTTATTCTTAAATGTAATAAGGTTTAAAATAGCGCAGATCATCCGTGGCCCGCCTACTAGGGGCGTCGCTCCCCCCTCCGTCAACGCGGGTGCGTTCACACGACTTGCTTATACTTTTTTAAATAATCACAAGTTTGCCGCTGATACTGGCCGATGCGCTGAAGTAAAACAGTGCACACCACACGACTACACTGACAAGATAAGCCGCAAGTTTGATACGCCCTTTAATTTATCAATCGATTTACGGTATTCCCCCCAATTGATTATTATGCACCGTCTTTTGTTTTGTTTCGTTTAAATTTTGATAAGATTTGTTTAAGACAAATATTCATCATGTAGAGTTGAAGACAACATATTATTAGGTAATGTTGAACACTCAGATGAGTATTTAGTGTATTTGCCTTTTTGTATTTTTAATAGTATCTTGATAGTGTGTAATTATTTAAGTTTCATGTGTATTGGAGAATAACTAATAAAAACAATTATAACTAAGACTTTATTAGGTAGAGAATAGTGAGAAGAACCGTCCCTTAATAAGTCATAGGGCTCTTTCAAATTGCTATAGAATTACTCAAATATAAGCCGCAAAAATTAAGTATGTTAAGAAAAATTGTCTGTAATGGTGACATCATTCATGTAGATAGCTTTAGAAACTTTACAAAGTTAAATTTAATACTGTTTTTCAAGCCAAGCGTTCATCGTAAATCGTAGTATAACAATGAATGAAAAAGCTAACTCGTCCTTATTGTATGTCAAACACCTCGATCCACAGAGATCCTGACTACTGTAATGAATTCCTAAAGAAAAAAAAATCCTAAGAGTTACAATTGGATATTCAAAATAAACGAACATCAACCATTGTTGTAAAATATTAAAGAGATCGATATGAGGACTTACTGTAGGGGTAAAGAATATCAAGAACCATTCACTTTGACTAATATTCAAGCATATTGAATTTGTTTGTAGAGCTTAACATCAAACTGAGGGTATTCAATTATCAATATAACATTAAATAGCCACAATAATCGTTGCAAATTTGAATATATTTTTCTATCAATTGAAAAACAAATATTAAAAGAAATATAAACGTATGTTATTAAATTCCGCCGTCAGCAATAAATGGGTAAATAATTAATAGTATTGGTGACATTTCGCGTATCGGCAGCCATTCGTGCGGCCATTACCGACTCGCTCGATAAGGTATATTGCGCCGCGACATGGTTAGTTTGAACTCCTCGCACGTTATAAATTATTATAAATACGAAACAACGAAGTCCGCAAGTCCAATTTTACGCAAATTTGAACATAGCAATAATTGAAGCTGTATTTCTGGCTGAGACTGAAGAATTGTGTTTATGAAATACTATTAATTGGCCGATCAGTGTTGCTTTGTGTATTGCTAAGGTTTGTTTTATTCTTTGCTTTGACGTGGAATTAAGTTGCTAGGAACATTGTGATGTTCAATTAGTTTAACATTATGATTTGATTGGAATATGATGTATTTAGGTACCATGATGTAATAAAAAGAATTGTTGAATTTTCGATAAATTTGATAAGTCGATTACCAAAAGACAACTTAGTCATACTTTTTATATAGAACCTTTATGTGATATAAGTAGTTTTTTTTACCTAAAAAACATATTTGTTTAAAATAGGAATATATTTTATTGAATAATAATTTTATGTAATTAATTTAGACCGCATATTAAAATATTTGGATTAATTTTTAAAATTTAACCTTTTATAAAAATGAATTTTAAATAAATTACATTTAACTCAAAAATTCCTATGCGCATACTTAAAAACTTGAACAATTTTCGTGGATAACTAGATATTGAATCAAATTGAAAACCGCGTTATCTGTCGACAGGGTTGTGAGCAACAAGCTTCCTTGCATTAATATTATAGTGATGGGACTGGTTATCGATACCCGTTCCGGTGCTAATATTACGATACTATCGAGTCGGTTTAACGAGAGCCTTTCGAGGCGCCGCGAGCTGTTTAGCGAAAAGCTAGAGAAAAACTCCGTCGGCCGAGTGAGACGGGCAATATGCGAGCGAGAGGGGAACGGAAAGAAGTAATAAAAAAAGCGGTAGTGTGGTCGTGTGTGGCGTGGGGCGGTCGCAGGCCCCTCCCTGCGCCGGTGGCCGTCGCCGCCCGCCGCCCGTCGTTGCTGTTCAGTCGAGTCCAACGCGCGCCGTCGCATCGCTCCCACGCTCACCACGACGCCGAGCGCGCGGAAAAAGTTTATCATTCACACGAAACTTACGATCGCGCAAACAACCCTACTAAATACAACACCCTCTAAGAAATAAAACGTGTTCTTAGTAAAACAACTTATTGTGTTAAATATTACATTTTGAGTAACTTTTCCTAGTAGTGTCGTAGTCTTATTTGATTAGGCGGTAGATGATGTCCATTTGTGGCGTAGATGGGATGTCCGGACGGTGACAGATCTTGGGGCAGACTGGGTGCGAACGGCGAGGGTACAAGCGGGCTGGGTGCTCGTGCCGCCGACTGGATGCTGCTACAGCGCGAGGGCCGGGAGCGGCCACCGGCCATGGAGGAGGACTGCTCGGCGCGGCCCTGCGCCACCGACTTCTCCATCGCCGCTATCATGGCACGGGACCGACAGGAGAGACGAGAGAGGCGAAGGCATAGGGACCCCAGGGAGGACACCCTCACTCCACTTGGTAAATACATTTAATTTTTTTTACAAGATCATGAAAAATGTATTATAAATGTATTTGATATATTGGTCATTGATCACGAAGCAAATTCTTATCTATTTTAAGCTATTAAACAAAGTTATAATGAAGTTACTTAATACATTTGATAACGCATTGATAAAAGTGGTTTTGATGTTTAGGATATCATGCCAAAAACTAGAACAACAAATTAGTTAGTGATCAAAGATACTCCTCTAAAATATAAGTCATAAGTAATTATCGAAACGTTCTATTTATGTGTGTCGTCACCGAGGTGAATTTATAACAATATAGCGTGCATAAAGTAAATAAAAAAACTCTGCTTTGTTGCTTCTGAATAACGTAGCTTGTCGCGTTGAAAGAATTATACAATTGAACGAGTTAATTTCAGAATGTCATTACAAATAAAAAAGAAACAAGGAAAATAGATTTTGTTCGTAAAATGGTTTCTTTAAATCGTATTATCTTACTAATATTATAAATACGAATGTTTGTTTGTATGAATGTTTGCAAGAATATAATAATTTGTTTGATATAGAAAATAGTGTAGAAGAACACGTAGGCCACTACTTAAGTTTATTATCCTTTCTTATTTTTTTAAATTCTGTTTACTTATAGACACTTTTTGAGCCTATTTTTGGGAAAGTTGTTAGGGAATATGGAAAAAATGGGCTAAAGAGCCACCACCATGCTGGAAATTTTAAGTTTTACATGAAAAAAACCATATTTTTCATGGTAATAATTTTATATAATGTTTACAATTTTAATATAAAATTGTAAACATAACATCGTTGTAATACGATGTTTGGTTTCTAATATTTCTTCTTGCCAAAAAAATAATCTCCAAGCTTAAAATGTCTTAAAACTGTTTGTTTGAAAATTATTTTATATAATTACTAAATAAATATTATTTAATACAAACGTACGGTCACTTTTAATTACCCACCATTAATTCTTATTAGTTACCAATTAATTTCTAAATACATAAATTATGTATTATATTATACAAGCTGTCGCCCGCGACTCGGTCCCAGAGGAATTAAAAAAAACATATAACATATTTAGCAATTTAGCAGGCTGTGTTCTTCCAGACTATGTTCTATGTTATGCCAAATTTAATTGAGATACCTTCAAACAAACATCCGTCCATCCATCCATTTAAACATTCTCATTTATAATATTAATAAGATAACCAAATCTTTACTTGACAGGTGTCATTTTTTTAGATTTAACAAAAGATGTGAGGTCACAACGTTTGTCAAATCTAAAAAAATCTTCGATTTTCATGTAGTTTCAACAATTTTTTTTTAATATAACTATGAATTTTAAAACGTTATTATTGCTATGTTTTTAGTAACAGAATAGACAGATTGATAAGAAATTAAGCATAAATTACAAATGATTATTTCTTTACTTTAAGTGCCAGCAGAAAATTTATATTTTCTTCCCTCGCATGCTTTTTGAAAAGCAAAGACTACTATATATGTGAATACAAGGCAGTCGCGGCACAGTGTCACGGCATTTGAGTCCCACAATTAAAAGCAGAATTTTAAAACAAAATTTTCATTCCAGAAAAGTTTGTGGACGCCACAGCGTCAGCATCGGGGTCACCGTCTCCGCCGTTAGCGGAGTACGAACGAGATTCCCCAGTGGACGTATCCTCGACGTCTGAGGCTGGGTCCGCTAGCGGAGCGCCCGGCGGCTCGCGAGCCTTATCGCCAGCGCCCCGCAACCCTCAGCTTACTGAGAGGTGCTCCAGCGACGAGATGAAACATATACAGTGCCACCTCGAGACCAAAGAACTTTGGGATAAATTCAATGAACTAGGCACCGAGATGATCATCACCAAAACTGGAAGGTAAGTGAATAATACTTATGTTAGCTATTATGTTTAGTTTACCCTCATTAATTATGAAAAACAAATATTATAATATTTCTATGTGTCCATAGAGGCAATGAATATAATTTTGTGTACCTACAAACGTAATCCGCAAGAATAATATTGGAATAATGTTTGCATTACAGTTAAATAACATCAGTGAATCTTATCTCTACTAAAACTCAAACATAGTATCTCCAGAAGTGGTAATTCGATTTTGAAATATGATTACGGTCATAACGCATTTGGTAGTCGATTTATTTTACCATGAGGTATATTTCTTTATGTCAGAATGCAACACTATAAACTTAGTTCTTCAAATGCAGGACTTGTTCTTACAATTCCACTTTTGTTTCGTGCGAGCGAATTTCGATGTGAAATTAAAAACTGTCTGTGGTAGGTAAGCCATCGGTTAACGAGATCGATGCAGTGAGTGCGAGTTGACGATAAGGTAGGTGGTACAGCGCGACCGATACGCCTCGCGGACGAACAATGGCCAATCTACCGCCGTCGACCGCCGGCGACCGTCAGCGACCGCCGCTGACCGCCACCGGGCGTGCTCTCCACTTTACAAATGTTCATTCAATTACTCCGATTCGAGAACCTTATTGATTGAACTTAATAGCTGGTATAATATACGTTTCCTTGCAAATATCACCGGTCCAATGAAAGCCTTGGAAAAAAGTAAATTCTTTGGTTATTGTGGTGGCGATATCGCGGTGAGCTGGGAAAGGAGCGGGGCGTTATCGGCGCGGCATAAATCACGATGACAGCTCACCAGTCGTGACAAATTTTCCAATACAGTCCTCTGATTATGATTATTACTACCTCGTCATTAGATTAGTAAAAATAAAATTAATATAATAACAAAACAATATGAAGATATTTTCTTTTGAATAACAAGATATTATACGTAAGTTAATTTATTTGCGTCAAACTGCAAACTATGGTAGTAACTGTGACTAATGATGTGCGAAAAAATATATAAATTAGAAAACTATTATAAATTTAAGATAATTTGGATAAAATGATTACATTTATATTGTACATCGTTTTTGTACAATTTTAACTGTTAATATTTTAAATTTTTAAATAACTTATATAAAAAAATTAAATAATAATTAAACTGTGGCGAATTTTAGTAAAAACTGGAAACTGATTACTACTTTCAGCTCTCTAGCGAGATAAAACATGTAGATAAGACATAGGTTTAATAAATGCATTAAAACCGTAACTATTAGCGTTTGGGAAATATTTTCACAAGTAGTTGTGATTCAGTTATCGGCAGGTTCCGTACAAGAAACGGGAACAACGTAACCGCGCCACTCCGCATCGCGCAAAACAATGCCCGCTCTTTCACGGACTATAAAGCCGTATTAATACCTCACTTATTTATTACTTATAATGTTCTCGAGTTAACGATGCCCCGGCCATTCGCTTTTTTCCACCATGCATCATAAAATACGACATCTGGAATTATTCCGCACTTATTTACTTTCGAAACAAGCGGCCCGGAACAATCATACGAATTATTTCAAGTATCTCGTTTACAGTTTTGTTGTGATTTTGAATTAGAATATAATATGTTTATTCGATTTTATAGGCAGTAACAGTTTTAGCTTTGGCGCCCTAGGCGAGACTTTTACAGTCCAGTGTCCAGGGCGGTCGCCCAACCTCGCCCTACCATAACGCCGGCCCTGTTCGTTAGCACCTTCAGACAACACACAAACTAGGACTTGAAAATGGGTTTAATATGATGAGATAGCCTCTTAATGCAAATAACGTAATTAGAAATAATAGAACTTAACTAATCCTGTTTCTATGATCTCACACTCACGTGCATACATTTTCTCTCACTGATAAATCGATATGTTATCCGTTAGTATTACGATCATATTATCTTCGCTTTCGTCACGCTCGTATCACCATATAAAGAGACGAACTCAACAAAGGGGATTTGAAAAGTCGCAATAGGAGACAATTTGCCACACCGTCACGCGAGCTTACGCGTTCGCCCCGTCGATTAGCATAAATCTCTCCAACTAACCGTCACAAATGAGCGACGGCGGCCGCGCACCGACGGCGAAGCGACTGCGAGGCTATCGCGGAGCTATTGCGCAGTTGTAGCGAAGCTAGCGCGACAAATCGCGAGCGCCGCCCGCCCACATAAATCAGCATTATCTCGCGAGATAGCCGCTGTGACCCTCCCGCCGTATCACGACGGGCCCCGTGTCATTCGAAAAAATTAATGACTCGGAAAAACGATTCGCTTATGAGGGATCTTTCAATGTAATTGAATTGGCCCGCAGAGATCTAGTGAATTGTCGAGCGCGTTGTGTCGAGTCAGGTGCGTGAGTATAAGTATAATACGAAAGGGTTCTGTCCAAGTTACTTTTGTTCGTTGAAATATTGAAATAATAAGTTAAGGAAATCAGCTGATTTTCCATTAAAACACTATATATTTTAATTCCATTCATCATGGTAAGATGTTAATTCTGATACATGTCTATAATATTTTCTTTGAAATGCTAAATCGTTTCCATGTTTATGACACAGAATTGGAATAGTAAGAGTTGTTTGCATATTTATTTTTAAATTAATATTCTGTTCAGTAAACGGTGGCGAGAAAAAAAATAGATATTAAATCCGAGCGCATTAACTGCATTCACCCTCCGAGATTATGATAACAGGCGTAATAGAGTTATGCTAGATTCACACTAGGGAACAACAGTGCAGAAGTAGGAAAGGATAATAATATTTTAACAGAGAGACAACAGATTACTGCTTCGTCAGTACGTGCGCATTCATACAATAGCAGTACTGCACTGTCTATTGTTCTGTGTCTTTGTGGTACCCTCGTGTGAAACTAGTATAATGCAAATACGTCTGTCCGTGGTTCGCCTCGCATGCTAATCTGGTGCGGATCTAATTCGTCCAGCCACCAAACGTATCTCGCCTCGCTTTAGAGTACTTTGTCGGGTCGCATTTTTCATCCCCTGTGTAAATATTTTGATGTTTGTCCGTCGTTTTAAATCCAACAGTTTTATGTGGCGCATCTGAGCCTAATCTTTTTCAAGCTTTAGTGTGTGTGGAATTGGCTTTAGAGAAAAATTACGTTCTTTTTCTTATTTCTAATTGGATTAAGAGACAATTATTAGTTTGTTAAAGTAAGTAATATGAAACAAAGATATAGTTTCATTACTATATGAATGTATTACGCTCAGTTTCCTTTCAGCAAAGTTGTCTAAAGATTATTAAATAAGTACCTGGATGACCGAGCTTTGCTCGGTATTTTTTTTTAAATTGTGTTTTTTGGAAATTATATTTAAGTACGAATTACTAATAAATTGATGAAATATGAATAATATTTTACGATCTTACCGATAGAAAAAGTTAAGTTTATGTTTAAGTTGATTATCGATAAAACAGTAATAAAATGACATTTTCTAAAAATTGCTCATTTAAAGATATAAGATAAAAAAAACGTGTCAGTTCTGTCATTATTAGAAATATGTGAGTTCTTAAAAAAGCAGACGCTTGATTTTTCATCAATAGCAAACAATTAAAATTTCATCAAGATGTGTTTCTTATCTTGATTTTCTCGTCTACCTGGTATTTGTATAACATATTCCGTTTATTAACAACTTGTAACACTTCAATATTAATAAATTATAAATAAATATGGTTAACTCCGTCATATCATAAATGATGTTAAATCGAATTTGAAGGAGATCTTGTCAAATATATTAGCGTAATTCTAAATTAGTTTATCTCTGGATTATAGTGAAGATGTTGCAATGTTGCCAACATACAAAAGTTCTGTGATCATGGACTTGGCAGAGAACGGACTAATTTGATTTATTTCTCACCATACTGCTTAATGGCGGCGAGTGTGATAAATATATTTTTTGTAACTCTATTAATATTTAACCTTTGTAGATTCTAACATAGTATTGTTTATGTGTCAAATATCTTTATACGAACACAAATTATGATAGCATTTGTCTAAGACTTTGATGTTTTCTAGTAGAACAAAATTTCCATCATAACTTTATTGAATAGAGAATTTAATAGTCTTTACAAATGTAAACACGAATCATATGAATTGGCAACACTTATTATGAGTTACAGTTAATATTTAGTTTGTAAAATTTCAAGAATACGGGACGATTTGTTAGAAAAATAAAGTTCAATATCAATTCCACCATAGGTTAGGTAAACACGAGTTCGAGTTAGCTTTTTTAATATGATTGTAAATACATTAAGTGTCTTGTAGCATTTCAGAAACGATTTCTTAACTTAATTATTATCCAAATGCTTAGGCATAACAATAATAAAAAGAACTTTGAAAATTTTTCTGCTTTTTCAAGATATGTGATTTACAATATCTAGGGTATAAATACTCGATACTTGACATACTTGTCCACAAGTTTAAGTAAGTAATTTAAGTTACTTAAGTAAGTGATATAATTAATAACATAGTATAACTCAGTTAATAACGAATACCTTTCAATTTTGTCGACACAATGGTAGCGTAGAGCGGAGTACGCCTGCATTGATACATAGCTGGGCTCGCGGCTATTTGTCCACCATTGTTCCGTACCGTAAATTCACTGTAGTACTAACTCCAATGCACAGACTACGCTGACGACCCACTTTACAATAAATAACGAGCCAGTTAACAACTAATGGATTTGTTGAGATCGATTCGCATTTGTTTTATTAGTCTTCGTCTGCAAATTCTTGATTTGTTTTTTTTTTTAATATTGAAGTCGATAATGTACGTTATTATTATCACATGGAGATCATGTGATTACGTCTCAAGTTTCGTAAGTCCAGTTACCGTAAAGTACCTAGAAGTAAGTAGTCAGTAGTAACCTATTGTTGAAAAGAGATTTTTTCAACGTACATCCTGCAAATAAAACTCTACTTTTAGGTAAACTATTTTATACTACATAGAAATTTATCTGAATTAAGTGCATCTATAAAACAACAAAATATAAATCATTATTAATTGTTCAATTTAAAACTAAATGTTAAAAGCGTAACCTGATTTAGGCAATCTATTTCAAATAGGTGGGGCTGGACATAGGGAATAATCGTCGATTTTTCCCGCGCGACTGCCGCGCCACGCCGGACACACCGCGCCGCGCCATCCGCCATTTGTTGCGAGCGCACGATAATTGTTGATATACGCCCGCGACCCGCCACTGTAATTGTCAACGCTTAATCTTCTAATTGGCTCGCATTTGCCAATGCCAGCGAGTCGCGAGCATGCACAAAATCTAGAAAGTATAACGTGGAAAGTTTACGAAGTAATTCAGAAGTAAAAAAGTACCATTCACAACTGCAAGTTGAAATGGCGTTTAAGAGCGAAGCGAGGTCGCCCACCGGCGGTGAGGAAATAATTTCGTGTTTTATCGGGCGCTAGGGGGTACGAGGGGATGCGAATGGGAGGAGGGTGGGAGTTCTGATTTATGAGCGACGTCGCGCTCGAGGTGGTCGCGCCGACTTTAAGCAACTGGCATTGTTGACACTCTCTGCTTACCATGACTGCTCGAGTGGTGTGAGGAGCAAAATAATAGAACGAGACGAAAATTTAGTAATCGAAGTTTTAAAGCAGTAGTCATATTCCCATGACGGTTGCTACTCGATGTTGTCATCGTTTCAATTTGAGATACAAACGCGGGATAGATTACGATAAATAATAGCGAAATATAAATGAAACATCTAAATCAAAATTAAAATATCAAATGGAATTCCAAACCGTAATGTTTCCTCGAACAAACTGGCTCAAAGTGCGTTAAAATTTCATCGCCGGCAAAGTTTGCGGACATCTTAATGTCATTTCAATTCAAAAGCTAATTTCGGTGAGATCCTAAATGAATCGAGTCGGCCGCGGCTCTCAGCTTGCGACTCGCTCGCACGTTATTTAACTTGTTCTTTAACTTCCAACTTTAAATTGAAAACGTTACCCGAACTCTTTACGGAGTCGGAGTCAAATTTTGAAGTTTGCCGCTGAATCGGAAATTTCTTTATAAATATCTTATTAAGCTTAAATTCAGTTGGTGTCACGCTGCCGACACTAATTTTATTCCTGAAAGACGGCGGTGGGGCGGCAGGGGAGAGACAACAGAAAAGTAAGGTGGGGGAAGGGGGGAACAGTGAAAATGTATGCAAACGGGAAACGCGGTATTTGACGAAGCCGAAAACGACAAAAGAATTATAGAGGTTGTCTGTCCCCTTGCGATGCGGCGCGGCAGTGAGTGTCGCCGACCTATCCCGCCCCCGCGACATCTTGCGAATTCACTTTGCTTTGCCTTTTATTAAGAGATTACTTGATATCTGTAGGAAGTTTATCTCCTTTTTAGCTACTTACATTATGACAATAAACAAAATATCTATTTGTCTTTTTAAATGTGTGAATGTAAATGCTAAAATTCCTAGTACTAAAGCTTAGATTAAAGAACTGTGTGTGGCTTTTAGGCTTTTAAAATAATTATAGATTATCGATAGACAACTTTAATGTAATGAAATTATAATCCAAATACAAGTTTATTTAACCACACTGTGTTTAAATCTACATTTAGCTATAAAAATGTATGAAAAATTACAATATTGTAGTCTTTAATTACAGGCATATTAAAAATCTAATATTTCAACCCTATTTGTTTTATGTGAAGAGAACACATGTAGGGTAGTTGTAACGCAACGTGTAATAGATGCGTGATTCATGTAAATGTACCCTTAGCGAGTGTATCGCGAGGTAATCTCTTCCCCCATCCCCCTGCCGATAGGGGGGCGACGGGGGAGGGGAGCTGTAAACTAATTATGTATACATTTTCGTAGCCACTTATTTACATAACCACGGCCCGGACGCCGCTTTCATCGTGAATATTTCATTCGTAATCTTTACTTTGACGGTTTAATATGACAGACATTCGGTTTTGTTCGTTTGTAACTTTTAATTTTTGTCGTCTTCCCGCCATAGCCACCCTTTGTTGTTGGCTAGAGTCGACGCCTTACACTAATAATAGATGATTTTCGAACGATGTTTTTATAAACGTTCAGGAAAATCGTGTAAACTGTAATTTTGAATATTCGTAAATGTGAAATCGCCTGGTGTTTCCCGGCCGTTGTATTGACGTTTACGTAAGCGTTCGGTATTTAGTAACACACACAATATTACATACCTGAAATTATTTATGTAGTTGGGATTTATAATATTTTCATTTAAATTCTAAAACACGAATAGAAGGTTGGTTACACCAACACATATGGCAAGTTTTTAATTATTTATATCATTCGTTAATTTTTTCTTTTTTAATACATTTCTTTATTTTGAAACTGACCATGCCCGTTTTATTTTACTGTGACTCCGTAATAGCGAGAATAGCGCTACAATTCCAAAATGTAATTTTATCACGTTTAAGACTTTATGCTTATATCATGAACTAAATTCGATGTTAATAAAATGCAATAAATAAATTGATTACCAATCCCTGCCGTTTTCCTAATAAGTGCTATTGTACTTAATAACAGGATGCGAATAAATAAAACGTATTAGTTGGTAATGAACGCGTGGCCGATGGCCGAGCGTTTCGCGAGTATTTATACCTCGCCTTCTCATGAACTAATTTATGGAAGTAAGTACTCGGAAAATGTTTATGTACAGTCGCCTTCGTTCGCGGTATTCCAGTTACAAAAAAAAAACTTTTGCACCTCCCAAATAATATAATTTTTGCCACTTACAAATATACAATTAAGATATTACATACAGCAATTAAAAAAACTAATGTTGGTTATCAGTATTGTAATCTTGACTACAGTTTAGTGTTGAATATGATATTTTTCTAGCATTTACTGATCTTTGTTAAGTTTCAAGATACACACTACAGCACATGTTCAAACAATTGTCGCTGTTAAAGTGGAATACCGACAATTGACGTGACTGTACATAAACTAGCTCCCTTCTCCCCTTGTGTTGACATCCGGTAGGTATGTAGTTATATGTACGCGCAATATGTAGTCTATTGTAATTTTTATTTACTTGCTAACCGTGTAAATAATGGCCGGACAGTGCGGTTGTAATCACTTCTATGTGTAGTACTTTTTAAATAGGAATGGGTTTTTTATGCACATAATGGACACACTATTGCGATTTATATACTGATAGTAATCTTCGATATAATTCTATGCTTTTACATTACAACGTCTATATCCTATTGATATTAAAAATTTACCGACACATTACAATACTAGTAGTCGACCGCGACTCCTTTCGTGCAGAATTAAAATAAAAAACTTAATTATTATAGTAGCCTGCGTGTTCTTCCACACTATGTTTTATATCTGTGCAAAATTTCATCAAGATATGTTAAGCTGTTCCGGAGATACCTTCAAACGTCTGTCCATACATCTAAACTTTCACATTTATAATATTAGAAAAATGGCAGTTATATAATTAATTAAAAAACGTTCTGTCTGTGAGTATATAGACTAGGTAGCTTCTTTTTATAAACATTATCTTTGTCTTTGTTGTCTATGGTCTAGGTAAAGAATTCATAAAAGACTCGGTGATCGTATAATAGCTAACAGAGGCAATAATTGTCTCCTTGGCTGTTAATAGATGGCGCCAGTGTCTCTGAGTGGAGGAATGTTACAGATGCATCAGTCAACGCACAGATCCTAGAAGGGAACATCAAAGAAACACCAACACAGTATTGATGACCGTTATTTATTTTTACTCCGTTAATTATGACGTTTAAACTTTGATAAGTTAATTTATTTTTGTTGGATTATGAATTTTCTTATTGAAGAAAATAAACAATAATTACCTACATTTATTGGAGCATTTGAGATTTCTATGCATCATACCTAAAAAAGAAATAATAGCCTTAGGTTTCTGAGTCCGAAATGTCCGTTTAAAACATATTGTTATCTCTCTTTTGTCTAAGATAATGAAAGAGATGACGATATGTTTAATAGATACATTTTGGTCTCAGAAACCAAAGATAAATGTATAATAAGTACAAGAAATTATTAGTAATCGTAAAGAAAAAACAGCAAATAAAAGCAACATTTCTAAATTAAATACGAACAAAACTAATTAATGTTATAAACTGTATCGCTTATCATCTGGCAAAGGTCATGACACAATCAACCTCCATCGTAGCGATTACGAACTCTGAGACCAAACCCCGCCCGTTGCGCTGACATGTTCCGTTTTAACAGCCCGTACGTGCCCCCCGGCAACCCCCGGGCCGTCCCCGCGCTACCCCGATCTCCCCCGGCAACCCCTCCCTCGGCCCGAGCTGACGACATTAGCAGCCGCAGACATAGGGCACGTCCCGGCCAGACGTTGACATACGTAGCTAAATGTACTTAGCTATAAAACCTTTGTGATACGGATCGAGAATTTGTAACGGTAGCAAAATATATAGGTATTTAGTTTAAAATACATACAATTATCTTATTTAATTGTTTTAACATAAGTATAGCATATTTCAAATGATTGCAAAACATATATACATTCGAAAAAGTATGAATATAAGTTACACAATTTTCCACCATTTTTTTTCAATATCATATAAACAATATAACTTAAAATAAGCAGAAAAGAAAGAAATCTATATGTTAATTTTCTAAGGAATTGTTATGGTGCGAACTTGCTTACGCTTTCCATGCCGTCGCTAAACTTTCCAAATTCTGCGTCGACTTGTGAAACTCCACACAGGTGTCGCTACGGTAGCGTTGTATAGTAGAGGCTTCACTGGATTAGCAGGCAATTATGCCTGAGTCTCGGCGATTTTATCCAGTATATCAAAGCAAGTTTTACAACGGCGTTTTATTGCGACGGAAATATATCAGCAATAAAAAGAAATGCGAGCGTGTTCTGACACAGTGCGTGCAATGTGACACCATTAGTGCAGTAAACGCGGGAACAATGGGAACAAAACGAAGTGCAGGAATTTGTCGCGAGTACGACGAGCGGGGTGCGACTCAAGAACGCATCGCCCGTCTACGATCAAATCGCTGATGAGTTTTCAATTTACACTAGGTAATAATCTGATTAAAAAATGTGTAACGTAAGAAAAACCTTTAGGACCAAATAATAAACAATATTGTTAACACCTACAACTCAATCCTTTGTCACTTCATCAGTTTGAAATCTTTTTGAAAGGTAGTTAGTTGACAATTCATGTTATTCTTTACAAGCAAACATACTTAATAAGATAGTAACCAATTCTTTTAGTAACATCAAATCTACAAAATGCACTTCATTTTGAATACAAGTATTACGTTTCCGATACTAGAAATATTCTACTTCTAATGTCACGGCTACACTATCGCGATAATGCGAAGATTTTAGTCGTCGTGAGACGTCTGGCCAAACATTTAATCGTATTGCGAATCATGATCGTGAATATCATGTGACAAATGCGAGTTAGTGATGATTCCATGATATAATGATAAGCACTTCGTCGTAGATCTTCGATTTCTTAATAGAAAAAGATAGACTGTTCCCTTACATGTTTTTCAAAGTAACGAATAAATGGTTGCAAATATTATTGCATCGTTGTAAGCATAAGGCATAAATGTTGCGCTTCTGTTGCCTTCACCACGCGACCCGCACCACTTTAGTGTGTCATTATCGCGACGTGTGCAATTAAAATTGTACGCTCAAGTAATATTTGTTTAAAATCACTAATTACATAACCGCTAATAAATACTTTTATACACGACATCTGCTGCGCGGTCGCCGCTAGCCGTATGCATTGTAGAAATGTTTCATTTGTTCCACACGCCCTGTACAAGTTGTAATTATCTGTTCGTGTGAACATGGCCTTAATTCAGAATGCATA